TTTATTTCCAGAAAGAAGCTATTGGAAAAGAACCTTCAATTGCGGAATTTTATTTTCAGACTCATCGCACAAAAAATAAAAAATGTTGGGTAAATGAGAAAGCTGAAGCTGCTTATGTAAGTGTTCCTTCTTTTACTTTTTTTCGAAGCATTACCTCAGTGACAACATATGATATATTTGCTCAGATCAAACAATTGCTCAACTAAACTCAACAAGAGCACACGTTATTTCTGAATTCTGTGTAAACTTGAATCCGCTGCTCGTTAGATGCTGGCCTGCTGCTCGTTAGAAATTTAAAATGATTTCCTTTTAATAAATTGTTGACATGTGATAAGAGTTTTTTTTATACCATTAGTGTAATTTAACATATTTCTATTCTAGTTTACCAATTAATACTATATTAGATAGAGTTGTCTCAATACCCTTTAAGTGACATGATAGCATAAACATTTTTACCATCGTCAATGCATAGAACTTAAAATCACTTAAATCTTGATATTTCTTTTATCAAAAACATAGAGGAAAAGATCTGTTGCTGACCTACTAGTGCAAACTTGGAATTGCAATTGTACTGTTGGTTGTTCATGCTTCCTTATCAAACTTGTTGGCCTTCTTGCTTAGATTAAGTATATTTCCTAAGGCTTACTTCATGTACTATCGTTATGGACATAATTTTTTAAGTTATGGATGTTGAGAATTGAGAAATGAACTTTATTTACATAGAACAAAATATAGCAGTGCCTTACCGTGGAGAAAGTGCCGCTTAATATTCTTCTTTAATTGCCTGGTTCCATATATTTCACGCACAATACTCATCTGTGAAATGCTTTATACAGAGTGCTAGCTTAGCACAGCGTGTCCACTGTCCACTCTCTATCTACATCATCTATTTACGTTTGTAAAATATTTCCTTTTATTGGCATTATATAATTTCTCAAATAACTTACTTTGGTGCAGAATAATTTTGAAAGAAAGAAACAAGAACTATCAGCTTCTCAAAGTGCATCAACTGATCAGGTAGGTGACACTAATTCAGCAAGCCAATTAAGTGAAATGGATATTTGGGTGCAATCTATTGGTGGAAAGAAAAAAGGAAAGGTTGCAGGCCTTGGCTCCTTGGGTCGATCAGTAAAAGCACTTAAGCATTCAACATCTACTTTACCAGGAGAAATTGATGAGATGATTAAATCTCAGGTGCATGCTTCCAATGCTAACTTATATGCTCAGTTGCAAGAAGAGCGGTGCAAAAACAAAAAAATGAGGAAGGAATTAGACTTATTGAAGAAGTATGTGAATTTCAATGCATCATCTTCAAATGAGTTATCATCTCAAGAAGAAAATCAAGAATCCGAGGATGGAAGTGACAATGACTCTGATAATGTGAATGAAAGTGGTTCTAACCCTGTAATGTGAATGAAAGTGATTATAATTAGGATTGAGATGTTCATTAGACTATTAAGTTTTACATTTGGGATATTTTGCTTTTTGATGAAGGATTATATGTTATTAATATTAATGTTATGAATTTGGGATATTTTGCTTTGTGATGAAGGATTATATGTTATTATTATTAATGTTATGAATTATGTTTTTTCTTTGGAATTTACATGGTGATTTACCTACGAATTATTACTTGGGAATTTTTTCTGGGATTTTACATGCAAATATTTCATGGGAATTTTCTTGCGAAAATATACTCCTGCGGATTTTACTTGGAATTTTCCTGCGGAATATTATTCATAAATATTCACAAGAAAATCCCTTTCGTCCATAAATTTTAACCTCAAAATTTCCTACGGACTTACTTGAGGATCTTCATGGGGAATTACCTGCGGATTTCTTCCTACATAATTTCCCAAGAAAAATCCTTTTGTTTACGAATTTTTACCAAAATACACCTGCGATTTTTTTGATATGTTTCGCTGATAAATCCGCAAGTAAGTTACATGGGGACACAAAATCCCCAGGTAATATACCTGAGGAAATTTTAATTCGCAGGTAATAATTACCTACGAAGGTTTTTCCAACGGATTTATTTTGGTAGGAAATCCGCAGCAAATCATATTACCTGCGGATATTTTTATATTATCCTTAGGAAAATCCCCAGGTAATCCGCCTTTTTCTAGTAGTGTTGTCGAATAACTGAGAAGAGATAGAAGAGAAGAATGAGATAAACGAGTATATCCAGATTTTTGTTGTTTGTTGTACAATAATCTTTGAGTTGTGGAATTACATACAAATAGGATGGTTATTTTACTACATATTGAATAATTCCGTCTTTTTACTAACGAATTTTTAGCTATTGCAGTAAGTGTAGAAAAGAAAAGAATATCTTGAACGTCATGGACAATCCTAGAAATAAAAGATGGATGCATTGCGATAGAGTTAGTAAAGAATATTTTGATGGAGTAGATGATTTTATAAACCATGCCTTTTCTATAAAACAAGATGGGGAACAAATTCTATGTCCTTGTATGAAGTGTGTGCTTATCCATCAAGTTAATCGGGCTACAACATATGATCATCTTGTGATTAATGGTAGTATGCCATCATATGATACTTGATTTTGTCATGGTGAGTCTTTAAAGGGATCATCAAGCAATGCTCAAACAAATAGTCGAAGCCAGTCAACTCTAAGGGGCGATGATATGACATGAATGATACATGATGCCTTTGGAGGCTTTACACAGTTCATTAGTGAAAGTGGTGACGTAGATCATAACTTACAAGAGAATATTGCTCATCCATCTGGAAATCAACCTCATGTAGAGGTGGATAAGTTTGAACGGCTCATGAAGGAGGCAAATGAAGAACTATATCCAGGATGTAAGAAATTTAGCAAGCTGTCCTTTTTGCTGCATATGTGTCGTACAAAATGCATGTTCAAATGGTCAAATGAATCTTTTAATACTTTGCTTGGACTATTGAAGGATGCGCTGCCTGAAGGGGAAAAATTGCCTCCTTCTTTCTATTAGACCAAAAAGATAGTTGAAGGCTTGGGCATAAAGTATGAAAAAATCCATGCTTGTCCCAACGATTGCATGCTTTTTAGGAAAGAGTTTGCTAATAAGAATATGAATGAATGCAAAGTTTGTGGGGCTTCTAGATGGAAAAACGATGCTAGAAAAATTCCAGCCAAGGTCCTAAGGTATTTTCCTTTAAAACCGAGGCTATAGAGATTGTTTATGTCATTAGAAACTTCCAAAACAATGCGATGGCATCATGAAGAGAGCAACAAAGATGGAGTTCTACGACATCCTGCAGATTCTGAAGCTTGGAAATTTTTTGATTATAAATATCCTAAATTTGCTGGAAACCTCGCAATGTGCGCCTAGGATTAGCTTCTAATGGGTTTAATCCATTTGGCACAATGCGAACTGTTCACAGTACATGGCCAGTGATTTTAATGCCATATAATCTTCCACCATGGATGTGCATGAAACAAGAGTTTTTTATTCTGTCCTTACTTATTCCTGGACCAAAAGCGCCTGGAGATAATATTGATGTCTTTTTGCAACCTCTAATAGAAGAGTTAAATGAATTATGGGATGGTGGTGTAGAAACGTACGATGCCTCTACTAAGGAGATATTCCAAATGCGAGCAGCTCTCATATGGACGATAAATGATTTTCCAGCATATGGTACTCTCTCTGGATGGTGCACTTATGGTAGATTTGCATGCTTGTCTTGTAATATAAACACTCAATCTAGAAGGCTCAAACATGGCAGAAAGTTTTGTTATATGGGGCATCGCCGCTTCTTGAAGTCAGGAGACAAATATCGGAATGATGTAAAATCATTTGATGGGACTAAAGAAACAAGATCTGCACCTTGTCCAGTAACTGGTTCAGTAGTACTGAATCAAGTTAAAGATATAAAATTTACTCTTGGCTAGTCAAGTGAAGCGGTCAATGGGGTGATGAAAAACACATGGAAAAAGAGAAGTATTTTTTTGATCTTCCTTATTGGAAATTTAACTTGGTGCTCCATATTCTTGATGTGATGCACATAGAAAAGAACGTGTGTGATAACATAATTTATACATTATTGGATCTTGGTAAAACGTCTAAAGACAACTTAGAGGCTCAATTGGACTTGAAGGTGTAACGACCCGACCGGTCGTTTTAAGCTTTTGCACTTTGATCGCCAGTTCTCAGGCACGACTTGCCCCGTGTAATGTATTATGACTGATATAAATCATTGGTTTTGGTTTTAGGAAAAAAAAATCAGAATGGATTTGAAAGAACAGTTTCAATTGAAAGCTTTGAATTTGAAAGGTTTGACCAAGAGTTGACTTATTTGTATATGAGCTCGGATCGAAATTTTTATGATTTGGTTAGCTTCGTTGGGTGATTTATGACTTAGGAGCGTGATCGGAATTTGCTTTTGGAGGTCCAGAGTAGAATTTGGCTTGAATTGGCGAAGTTGAGATTTTGGTGATTTCCGGTTAGTAGGTGAGATTTTGATCCGGGAGTCGGAATGGAATTTCGAGAGTTGCAGTAGCTTCGTTATGTCATTTGGGATGTGTGTGCGAAATTTCAGGTCATTCGGACGTCGTTTGGTCGGGTTTTTTATCGAAAATTCGATGAGTTTTGAGAACTTCAGAAAATTGCAGGTTTCAGTTGCTGGATTTTTGTTCATTGCGATCACGTTGGCTCTCTCGCGATCACATAGAAGCCTTGGAGGGAGCAGTTAAATTGTTCTTCGTGTTCGCACAAGTAGGGATGCGATCGCAAAGTGTAATTTGGCAGTGCATTGCGTTTGCATGGGATCAGTTGCATTCGCATAGGGTTAATTCTGGGAGTTGAGCTTTTGTGCTTCGCGATCGCGAAGGTTTTCCCGCGATCGCATAGAAGAAATTATGCCTGGGCAAAATGTTTTTAAAATCATCTTGTTCGCGAATGTGGGTCTATTTTCACCCATAGCTGCTCATTTTTGGAGATTCTTGAAGGAAATTAATGAGGGATTCAAGGGGAAACGACTTAAGGTAAGAATCTTGGTCTTAAAACCCAATTATATTGTGAAATTCACCTAGAAATTCATGGAAACTAAGCCTAAAATTGAAGAACTAAGGCTTGAGAAATTGGACTTTTAAATTGGGATTTGAAGGACCATTTGAGGTTGGATTTGAGAACTTTTGATATGTATGAACTCGTGGGAAGATAAGGAATCTATTGATGTAAAATTTTTTGAGTTTTGAGGAGTGGGACCGGGGCTCGGGTTTTTGTAATTTTGGGATTTGTGCCCGTTATTGATTGTTTTCGCTTGGGCTGTGTTCCCTTAGCATATTGTGATGTATTCATTCTGATTTTGGATAGATTCGACGTGCGTGGAGGCCGATTTGAGGGGCAAAGGCTTCGCGAGCTAGAGATTTAGCCGGTTCGAGGTAAGTAATGATTGTAAATACTGTCCTGAGGGTTTGAAACCCCGGATTACACATCGTTGTGCTATGTTGAGGTGACTTACACGCTAGATGACGAGCGTGGGGTAGAGCACCGCTGGGGATTTTGACTTAATCCATCCCGAATGATTATTTTATTGCATATTTGATAGTTAATTGATTGATATTATTATGTCTTGGGCTGTATGCCATGTTTGGGGCCTCGTGCCGACTTGTTGAGACCCTTAGGGGCACTTTTACTATTTTTCCTCACTCTATTTGTTATAAAAGCATATCCTCAGTCATGTTCTACCTGTTTATTGTTTGAATCTGGTCTTATCACTATATTCTTAAAAATGTGAAAACTGTTTGGGCTGAGTTCCCTGTTTTACTGATGGTCTGAGTGATCGTGAGTTGATGACTGGATAGATCGAGGGTCTGATTGTGAGGTTGATGACTGAGATAGACTGAGAGCCTGATGGTGAGGTTAATGATTGAAAGAGGCCGAGGGCCTGACTGTGAGGATTATATATATCTATGGATCGGGCTGCGCGCCGTAGCAATATATATATATATATATATATATATAAATATGTATATGGATCGGGCTGCACGCCGCAGCAATATAGCGCTTGGGCTATCGGAGCCTCTCCGGAGTCTGCACACACCCAGTGAGCGCAGTCGACTATATATATGGATCGGGCTGCACGCCGCAACGGTTACTATATGGTACCTATTGAGTGTGAGTGCTGAATGTGAGCACTGATTGATAAGAGTTGAGTCACGAGTGACTGAGAGGCTTGCCCGAGGGGCGTTAGATATATACATACATTTGAGTGATGCTTTGCCTGAGGGGCCTGGTTATGAACTTATTGATTTTCACTCCTCTTTAAGTGAGTTTCTATCAAATATGTTTAATTATTGAATGCTTTCACTCATCTTTACACTGAGCCTATGTCGCAAACGTTGAATAAATGTTTTTAAATAACTTTCTTTTAAGCTGGGGTTTATGAGATGTTCAGAACTTAATCACTGATTTGGCTTTTTGTTATTTCCACTGAGATTTTCTTGTTATGAGATGTTTATGACTCTTGTTTTGCCCGAGGGGCCGATTATAGTTTTATCTCTTTTATTATAAATGGCATTGAACCCTACTGAAACTGTTGGAAGGTATTTTAAATGATTTTTACCAAAAGCTGGATTTTAAATGAGGCGATTGACTCGTATTCTGATTTAGAAAGCCTGTTGTGCTTATTGAGCCTAACATAAATGTGGATTCAATGTTTCCTACTGCTCAGTCTTTATTTACTTTTATTACTTACTGGGTTGGAGTACTCACATTACTCCCTGCACCTCATGTGCAGATTCAGGTATTTCGGAACCCGGTAGCGGGTGTTGGTTGCTCAAATGTGGAGTCATCAGAGTTAGAAAGGTGGCTGCACGACGTTCGCAGCACTGCTTCCTTCGTCTCATTTTCATTTCTGTACTTAGTACATTTTGACTGTCTTTGTTGTATTCAGACCTTGATAGGTGCTCATGGCTAGTGACACCCCGATGTCGGGCTTGTATATTGTTTCGCACTGTTCATTTAGATTTATATGATGAAATGTTGTTAATTAAGGGCTTAAAATGACTCTAGACGATTAAAGGGTTATATGGGTGTTGTGTCGGCCGGCCTTGTCTTCACGAGAGGCGCCATCACGACCGGGCCGGTTTGGGGTCGTGACAAGTTGGTATTAGAGCCTAGGTTACATAGGTCTCACGAGTTATGAGCAGGTTTAGTAGAGTCTCGCGGATCGGTACAGAGACGTCTGTATTTATCCTCGAGAGGCTGCAGAACCTTTAGGAAAACTTCACATTCTTGAATTCTTATCGTGTGTCCCTGATTTAGCTTGAAAAGTAACTCTTCAAATTCCTTCCACGTGATCGTATGCGCGCATGAGCGCTCAGTATCAGATGTGCCTTGATGGCTTGTGATTCCCCGATCGAGGGGCGAGATGTAATCTCTGTGAGTTTGTGTTGGGCCAGTCTGAAGTATTTGAGGCCGGATCTTTGCCTATGGCTTGAGTACCGAGGTGCTGATTGTGCGAACAAATGTTTTTGAACTTATATGTTCGGTATTGTCCCTATTAGTGGGAGTGATGGTTGGGTATCTACGTGATGAGTACGTTATGTCTGCGAGGTGTATTCATATGATTTAGAAGCGACGAGAAGGGCCTGCTAGAGGATAAGAGGACTATTAGGTGCATGATTTCCATCTTGATTCAAGGTATAACCCCGAGTTATGGGCGTGTGAAGAATCTTTTCATGTTTCCTAGTTGGGAGTGAAGTAAATTTCACGTTACGGTATGAGTTCAGACTCAGAAAGGCTAAGTGACTGCGTAATGTTGTGACGGTGGAAAGTATACAGAAAATGTTAGTTGAAGGCAAAGCAGGTGAGTTATATCCTGTGGAGTGTTTTGAAGTGGTGTGATCCTTATGTTGTCTGTTAGAATATCTCATTTACAAGTGAAATATAAGTGTTGAAATTCGAATTTTGGATCGCTTAAGAGAGTGGGCTTGACTGTTGCAAGGATGAATGCGAGATTTGCAGAA